TCTGTTTCTCGTCTAATATTACCTACCCATCTGGCTACTTTAGCTCAATAAAACTTGTTGATCCGTATGAGTGAAAATAAAGGCAACCCCGCCAGCCTTACGGAAAGGTCGTTATTTGACCAGCCAAATTTTACTGCATTGGGAGCTGGCTTAAGTCAAGACAAAGGCTTCGGCAGACAACCCACTGGAGGACAAGCGATAGAAAGAAGGGTACTGAACCGCTGGAAAAGCCCAGGTTGGCCCTCCAATATTTGAATTATGTTACTCAAACTTAAAAAGATCTTCTCAGCTCTACTGTGCCAATGAGTAGCAATTGTCAGTGGAAGTTATGTTCTGCTTTCTGCAACTCAAACAGCGTCTATTATCAATTCTCGTTTGAGATTGCCTTATATCAAAGCTGTTTATTAGGTTTTTGCTCTGGGAAATGCCCTTGTTCCTTATCGATCATCTATGAGTGATTATACCAAGAAGCCCACACTGACCGCCAGCTGATCGGCCACATCTTGTCCATAAATAGCTGTAGGGAGCCGGTGATGGTAGCTGAATTGCGGTTAAGTCGCTGGACCTGACCGATACAACTAATCGTCTCCTTCTATTCCGGGCATTGAAAAATATCATTAGTCGCATGCATTCCTGTTTTTACAGCTACTTACGCTAGACTATCTTTTTTAGTAGGTTCGTTTCATTTTTACAGCTTGATTTTTCAAAGGTAAAGGTGAAATGAATTCAGGAGAGCTCCATTCGGACCCACATGGCTAATTTTTCACGAGATAATTCTGTAGATGTAGCAGATGGGGAAATACTTATCGTCAATTGTGTCACTCCCAGAGTTTTCCGTTGAATGTGATATGAATATTTGAAACGCGGTCTAAAATATTAATATATTTGTTCAACGTTGAAAAACATGGAAGTCTATATAAGCCTATGTTTTCTTACCTTATGCGCAGTTTTATTTTGTCTTCGAGAACCTTCGCAAAAGCAATAATTCGCTTTACCTGCATAACTAATTTGTTGAAGTCGTGACAGAAATGTGGGTCCTAGATGGCTTACAGTGACATTTGAGGCAAGCTCATTCGGTCCGTTACTCTCATCATCTGTTTGTTGATCACCAGAATTGGTGGGACTATCCCTAAATGATTAGCGGAAAATGACTGGTAATTATTAGTGCGTGCTTTTTGACTATCCCTAAGAAACTGGAATCGACAGAGAAGGACTTCTATCTTGATTCGCTTATGTGCCTTTCGATCAACTTCTTATTATTGAAAAGGGGTGTGGTAACTCCTCCATAAAAATCGCTTCGCGCTCGCCGCATCCGATCCGTGCAGTCGTGCGCTATGAATGTAGAGGATTGAAATTTCAGTGGAAGAATACGGTAACCGCCGCGGGACTATTGCCGCTAGGCGTACGATTTCGGGAATAAGTACCGCCACCCGTTTCAGATGTATATTTGGGTTTATTCTCGGTTGCTTATGATAGACTCTAATCACTACTTAGAAGCACAACTTACTCGGGATCGGTAAGATTAACGTAGACGTCGCCATGCGTAAATGGCTCACTGATTCCACCAAGAGCAACCCCACCATACTGCGTGGGCTTGTCGTCTGCCTGAACGCATTGGATTTAAAGAAAACGATTCGGAAGCTTAGTAGTATCCTTTCCCAAACAAACTTCACCCATGTGCATTGAAGACCGGATTCGTCTGGGAGGGTAAGATCACTGTTTCGTACATCAGCACTTAATTTCCCGGGCCACAGGCAGGTGTGTGGA